CTCGGGATCGAACTCATACGAATTGTTCAATTTATTAGGCAATTATTATTTAGGATCCCTAAAATAACTTGAATTTTCGTACTAATTGCTCTATTTATTAGGTAAGTATTACTTGGTTGATGCTGGTTACCCATTGCAACGAGGGTATTTAAAGCCATTTCCTGATACGAGATATCACATACCAGACTTCGCTCGTGCAAGTAACGTCACACGAGGAAGAAAGGAAATGTTTAATAAACGACATTCATCGCTACGTGGTGTAATTGAGAGGACTTTTGGTGTCTGGAAAAAGAAATGGTTGATACTTCAAAGTTTAATAGCCAAAACTTCAAAGTTTATGTGTTAGATATGTAAATATTTGTATAAGCATTAAATATTTGTAGTTCATGTATTGTATCTTTGGGAGCTATGCAAATATTCATAAAACTTCAAAGTTTATGTGTTAGATATGTAAATACATAAGATTGTGTTGCATATGAATCTTTTTTTTCAGTTTATGTGTTAGATATGTAAATACATAAGATTGTGTTGCATATGAATCTTTTTTTTCAGTTTATGTGTTAGATATGTAAATACAAAGTTTTTTATTCATAAACAGATGGTTGTTATACTATTCTTTTAAACAATTTTACCAAATAGGGGTAGTATGGTCTTTTTTTCATAAACCCCGGGGGCAGCGCAGCTGCAGCTGAAAAGCTGAGAAGCTGCAGCTGCGCCAAACAGAGCCTAAGTGAGTCAAAGTAATCTCCTGAGCAGGCTCGAGCCTGGCTCTATAATCAGCTCATGAACTGAGCTTGATGAGCTAACAAGTCAAGCTCAAGCTAGCCCTGACTTGACTCATTGGCATATTAGCCGGTTCGTTTAAAAAAATATGAATATAAAATGTACTCCATATATTTAATTTGAATATTTTATATTTAAAAGTATTAAGAATTTTTAAAAATAGTATTTTGCAATTTATATTAAATGATTTCGTAGTACTTTTCTCCTTATTGCTCATTCTATTTGTCATTTTATTATAACACTACATTGAATTAATACTATTTTCTCTCTTTTATGTTAAGTAAGCTGGCTCGTGAGCCAGCTCGAACTTGTAAACTTAAGTTCGAGTTATATAAAATAAATCAAGCTCAAGTTTAAGCCGGGGTTTGCCCGAGCTCGACTCAACTCATTTACACCCCTAAGTTCATTTATGTTGCTAACGTTAGAACGAAATTTTAAGGCTTCATCTGAGAATAACTATCTTGCTCCGTTCAAATGCAATAAACATTGCACCATTTACACCCCTAAGTTCATTTATGTTGCTAACATTAGAACGAAATTTTAAGGCTTCATCTGAGAATGACTATCTTGCTCCGTTCAAATGCAATAAACATTGCACCAGGAAAATATTCATTTGGAAACATCTCTGAACGCTTCTTAGGAAAAAAACACAAAAAATTCTACGAAGAGAAGCTCCTTCGGAAAATATTTGCGTACATAAGATATACGCAGCGCTGCGTACATCAGAGATTATTTCGGGATTATTTAGGGGGTACAGGGGGGTTATATCCGGGTTATACCCCTCTGTAACCTCCGTGTAATTCCCTTGTAACATCCATGTAACTTATTTGTACTCATGAAACTACAGAAGTGCGGAACTGGAACTCATTTGTAAACTCATTTGTAGGTTACATGTAATTTACAAAGATGTTACATGGGGGTTATAGAGAGGTATAAACCTGATATAACCCTCCTGTACCCCTTGAATAAACCCTGGACATACGCATCGTTGCATGCGTCTTATGTACGCAAATATTTTCCCCTTCAAAGGGAGTCTAAGTTATTCATTATATAACAATTACATGCATACCACACAATTCTTATGAATTTACATATCTAACATGTAATCATCCATATTTACATGCATATCACATAAATCATCGACATCACATAAAAAAATATGATCTTTTTTTTAAAATTAAAATATATTTATGACACCAAAATATTATAAGTGTAAATATCAAATTTTGGGTGTTAAATATCTAAACATATAAGAATTATGTGGCATCCATGTAAATTTTCCTCAAGTTTGATATTCATTTATAGAGATTGTTATTTTATGCCGATTCTATATGGCTTATTCCGAGGAAATGTCGGCCAATCATCATAATAATGGCATGGAAGGTAACATGTGAAGTAAACATGAATAACGATGGTTAAAATAAGTGATGGCTAAGAGCTGTTACAGAGATAAGACGTAGTTCTTCCATTGATTGATATGGTCTATAACTTGCAATTGTTCTGAATGTCTTGAGAGGGATATTTGTAATTCAAGTGCTGTTATAGTGCAGATTTGTGGTGGCAATGGCTATAATGTAAGAGACTATACTGTATTGCATGAGAGGACATTCAGGTCATATCTCGCAGAAGACAATTGCAGCATAATAGACATTATAGATCATATCTTCAAGAAGACAAATGGATTGCAAATGGGGTTATAGAATAGGTATTGAAGGAGATAGTTGTAAATCAAAATAAGCTCGCACGTGCAAAACTAGTGGAAGTGATGACTACAATGTATGTGAGGGTACGCGTGACTGCTAAAAAGACGGCTATGATGCATGTTTAGTGGTGGAAAACGTTACATATATAAGAAATTATAATATAAACCTTGAAAGAGATATTATGGAGTAAGCAAGGTTATGTTGTGGATCTTAATGAAGATGAAAATGGTGCAAAGAAAGTTGTGATATAATTCTTAAAGAAGATGGTTGTGGCAAAAGAAAGGTCATAATGTTGGCGTGAAGATGGTGATAACTATAAAATGGCAAGGATAAGACATTGGTCTTAAAAGAGATAATTATGTTACAAGCAAAATTATAATACAAACTTGGTGGTGGCAATAATAAAGCACGGGTGATATTATGGTAGGGGTACTTTTGAAGGAATCATATGCAACGTAAGGGTGGTTGTATCAAAGTTTCAATGGAGACACATTAGAATGCAATAGAAAGTGAGGTAATTGTGTGGATTTTGAAACAACCAACTATTAGCTTTGAATGAGAGTCACTAGATTGTAATTGAAGGTTAGTTGTTAATAACTAGTATATTTTATAAAACTAAGAAAATCCATATAAATAATATTGGTTAAATCAAATTTATAATTATTTGATGCATTTATCATAATTTAATTTAATTCTATGGGTTTGAGATTTCAGAGAAAAATAAAGGATTATTTTTAATTATATCTCATGGTGACAAAGAATATTATCAAATAAATAATTTTATTAGTGCATAGAAAATGCTTATAATAAATGTTGAATAAAGAAAACAAGCATATATGAATATTATTGATGTTGTAACTAAATATTAAAACTTCAATTAAGAACAATCATAGCTCATTTAAAAAAGAAAATTATAATCTAAATATCCTTCAAAGAAACTATGATCTAAGTCAAGGATTTGAGATCTTACAGGTCAACATAAAATAAAATAATATTTGAAATTGGTCTGACAATTCACCTATAGTTTAGTTTATTTCCAGTGCCGTATTTTTATAGTGTCTATATCAAAGATTGTGGCATACATGTCAGGTGTTGTCGGCCAATGCCAGATATTGCCCCTAATCCTTAGGTAAAAGGAATGAGTTACAAATGTCATGTAACATCTTTAATAAAGGATTGAAGGATGTCCTTTTTAATAATGGCAACTTCTTCCGATAGTCGTCATTGCATAGATGAGTTAGACCGCCCTTTTGAAGAAGATGAGAACGCGATACAACCAGTGTCTTGATGAAAAATTTGTGGTGTACATATCAAGTGTTGTCGGCCGATGTCAAATATTGCTCATGAAGTGATTATCATTGATCCTTAGGTAAAAGGAATGAGTTACAAGAGTCAAGTAACATTTTTAATCAAGGATTGAAGGATGTCCTTATTAGTAATGATGACTTCATCTGATAGTTGTCCTTGCAAGGATGAGTTGGACTGCCCTTTTGAAGAAGATAAGAACGTGATATGACCACTTCTGCATATTGGCTCAATTCAGTCACTTTGGCTGGTGGGCTCGATTCAGCCATTTTCGGCAGGTAAGTTCGATTCGGTGATAAAAAATTAATGAATAATTCTCTTATACCCTACCTGTATTATGTATATATTACATTTTAGTAGGTCTGATTATAAAAAAATGATTTATCACATTTAAAAAAAAAAAGAAGAAAGTAGTCATGCCAAATGAGACACAATGATGATTTTCTAAAAAGAAATGTAATGAGAAAGTTGCTTCAAATATTTCATTCACTGAATAATATATTTAATTAATTTAATTCAATCATTACTGATACGTTATTCACAAATCCATCATCTAGCCCGAATTTTAAAACATGAAATAGATCTCAAAATGATCTTTTAAGTATGAAACATGCAAGCTTCAATTAAAAGTCATTCAGAACACCGATTTCAATAAACTTAAAATCAGATTGACCGGTTCGATGATACGAACAACTGTACAAAAATTGGTCGAGTTCAAACCAAATGAAACCTCAATTAAGCTATTAAATTACATTTTGAAACTTTTCAGGGCATATTTGGAAGCTCAAACGTATGTCGAATCTGGAAATCTTATAGTTTAATCGAGGAGCTATGCATGAAAAATCTAATAAGCTCAAGATCCCTTAATTATGACCTAGCTAAGACACTCAAATGTCTATCAAATATCGTTTGATCAAGGAAATATCTCTGGGTAATCCGACCAAAGTGATTCAAATTCATTCTTTAATTGTCGATGAGAATAGAGTCTCACCCCCATTTGAAGAGGGGACTTGGAGTTGAAACTTGAATGGAATTGAATCTTAGAGAAGAAGCTAATGTTTAGTATCACTTCTGCACCGACGATCCGACGAACGTCTTCTACTCCTGCAGCTTTCAATCATCATCAACCACCATTCGTCAGCAGCTAATGGTTATCATGGATCACCGCCACTTCTTGTAACGAAGCACCGTACAAAACAACTTACAAAAGCGGCACATCATCATGGATGTCGTCAGACCCCCGAAGAAGGTGCATTAAAACTTTGACTATTACTCTCATTCATGATACGACAAATTCATCTTTGCCCCGGTGTTGTAGCTCGGGAGACTGTGTAACATTTTCCCACCTGTGAGATAACGAGCTATATATGTAGTAACCAATTTATAGTGGATCACTTTAACTGAGCCAATCCACGAGATTTTTTCTTTTTCGGGTTTTTCACGTAAACGTAAAAATATTTTCTAATGTTCCTACCCATCATTTCTATTGTATAGCATCAACACCACAAATTCACTCACACATCAATTATAAATAAAATTTAATGCATATGAATATTAACACAAAATTTCATAATAATTACGATTTTTTTTTTCTGAATATTAACACAAAATTTCATAATAATTACTATTTTTTTCACCAAAATTAGCTTTACATACACACAAAATTAAAATTATCAAATTTCACCCACGGCACATCTTTACATAATTTTTCTACCAGGAGCCTGCAGGTCACTCATTCTCCACGGCACGGCAGTGCGGGGCCATTGGCTTCACACCTGCCCACAAACCCACCACCAACTATTCCCTGCCACGTCATAAAGCTGTGCCACATGTCTCGCAACGTTAATGCAAAGCCGAATGCCTATAGCGACTGCCCCTCTTATCCCTATCAGCTTCTGCATTCTACGCAAAGCCGTCCCCGAAGCACCTTCCCCAATGGCTCTCCGCCGTTGGATGCTCTCAATTAACACAATCAACGGTAATGATTGCATCCACAACTGCTCCTCCTCATTCCAACCTCCTTCCCAGCCGACCTCCTTCAGCCACCATATCTTCGCCAACACCATCATCGCCGCTGTCTGCGTGGTCGCCGCAGTGCTCTTCCTCGTCCTCACCTACTACACGGTCCTCGCTCGCCGGCGCCGCTCCGGCAACGTTGCCACCGCAGCCAACCTCCCCTCAGAGCAGGACGGTATCGAGGCAGATTACCCCTTTTGGCGCATTCGAACCGTCGGACTCGATGAGTCCACTATCAACTCCATTTCGGTGAAGCCGTACATCAATGGCGTCGGCAGCACCGCCGATTGCTCCGTGTGTCTTGCCGAGTTTCGCGACGGCGAGCTCGTTCGCCTTCTTCCAGCATGCGGTCACGCCTTCCACGTTCCCTGCATCGATACGTGGCTGCGGGCCCATATCAGTTGTCCTCTCTGCCGCGCACACGTCATCGTCTCCTCCGATTCGGGAAGTGAGGTTTTGGCCTCCATGTATCCAGATGGTAATGCTCTGATTAGCGATCGAAGGGTTTCGGGGAGCTCGGAAGATAATAGGGGAAGAGAAATAGGAGTTGATAATGTTGCTGATTCCTCTCTGGACGGCCCCGAGAATTCCATCCTTCGGGATGGGAGTCATTTGCCTGGAAATAGGCTGCAGCGGCTGTGTCAGTCGAACTCATTTCATTCGCTGCCGGGACGTGACTTATTTCTCAGTTTAGACAAAGAAGAGATCTGTCAGGACGAGAAGAAGGAGCAGGAAATGCTATTGTTCCGATGAGGAAAATGGTAATGAGAAGAAGGGTAAACAGCGTTGCAGTCCTAAAGGGGATTGCCTGCAAAAGTGTTTAGCAGAAATTGAAGGAGGATCTACTTCTGGGACTGGGAGAATTCTCTTCTTCTCGAGATGTGGGCGGGCTCGGAGCAGCTCTGTTCTTCCACTTTGATACAGGATTGGTATTCTCTGCTGTTTCTCTGATTATGAATAATGATGTTTTCTAGTGATTATTTGGAACGACGTCACACTACAATTATTTTGATACAATTGGCCCAATCACAAAGCTTGATATATAGTACTGTTCAGATTACCTCTTACGTTTTTGGTTCAATTTTTTGTAGCAGTTCATGCGAAAGGCTGTCTTTAACCGAATATATGACCATTCCATCACTCATCAAGTTGCAATTTGATCAACATTGTAATATTAATACTTCAGCAAAAGATTGGTAATGTAGTCGTCAAATTCACAAGTTTCTTTGGTTTTTTTCCTCTTTCATTAGAAAACATATCTTTGAATCTCTATTTGTATTTATTCTCTTTGTTTGGAGAGTGTGGCTTATTTCTGTTAATTATTAAACTCAAGCTGAGAAGCAAGTAGTAGTAGGAGGAAGAAAAGCAGAGGAGAAGTTAATAATCGATCAATTTCACAGCTTCACTTTGATAGCCGATAATTTTATGTAGAACATTAACTAATGAATCATTACAGCAGCAGAGAGGTGTAAGAAGAAGAAAAATTATAATGGAATTTTTCATGCAGTAAACCAAGTACTCTTTCTGCCCCTTCACTGAGTTTATATTCTGATTAGATAGTAACAAGAAGAAAATTTATAACAAAAAATGCACAATCCAAATGTAGATAACATCAATAAGAATACAATTATTTTACCTGGAATCCTGGTCTCACAACAAGAACAGGTCTCCAAACTTGTCTTGGTGATTAGCCTTGTATATTTTTCCTGTATTAGTCTCATGAGCAACGTCTTCCTATAAGTAAAAGTTGCATTTCAGGTTTCTTATACTAAATGAGCATCAAATGTGTTGTTGTTGCGAGATCTATAGATATCCTAGTTGATGTGGTATATATATAAATCAAACATGAGAACGATCGACGGAGTGAAAAATAGAACGAGAAAAATCACACCAGAAAAGAACAACACAGCGGAACACACAGATTTACGTGGGTCGACAAATTGCCTACGTCCACGGAGTTGCAGATGATTTTACTACTTGAGGAATTTACACCAGTCGATCACCTCGACTTACAAGAGGAATCTCTCACTCTTCGTTGCTCTCTCTCTTCTTCTCTCTCTGTTCTTCTCTCTATATACCGAGATACGCCGAAGAAAACTCTATACCAAAATACACCGAATGAGATAAACTTACAAGAGAAATAGACCCAATTTCTCTTTTGCCACAAGACACCAAGAAGAAGCCTAGGGATAACAATCTTCTTCTTCTTCCTTCTGCCGTAAGGAACTGCTCCTTCTTGCACTTCTCTTCCTCTGCCCCGAAGAAACCTTCATCTATCTCGAGGAAACCGAATAAGAACTCAAAGCGTGACTGCTAAACCTAAGGAGAGTCATCCGAAGCTTTTATCACGAACATGAGAGAGCGAAGAGATGTTTCACTTCACAATTTCACTTCACAAAAGAAAAAGAGGAAGGTGAGAGTAGTTATTTGTGAAGAGGTGTGACTCTCCAAAGCAAAGTAATTGTCCAAGCATAGTGGATCGGACTCCACCGTTTCTAACAAAATGCACAAGTAGGATAAATGTATCAAAATTTGAGCATATCTATAATAACTGAACTTTTAAATAAATAAATAAATAATTTTAACTGAATCTATAGTGTGGGTTAAACAACATTAGTGGTTGGGCTTAAGAGTTGTGTGTGTCCTTTTCAAACCAACGAAGAGCGAGGGAGGGATTAGAGTGATCAAGAGAAGGAAGAAGACAAAAGAAGAAGAAGAAGAAGAAGAAGTCTGTCATCAATTGCATCCATGGGAGATTTCAACATTTGCATAGCCGAAAGAGAAGGCGACGCAGTGTCCTAATTGAAGGAAGGAGGAGGAGGCAATATTAAGTGCGAGCAAGGTAAGAAGATCTCTAGCCCTAATAGAGGAGAAGAGACTCAGTGTGCTCACATGTAGAGAAAGAAAATGAGAAGGCTACTGTGTGTGGGTATGAGTCGAGTCTGGCGTGCAAAGGAAGAGGAGAAAGGAGGCGCGCGTGCTTGTTAGAGCTTTCGACCGAGATGATAATAGATGAGTTTTAATATTTTTTAATTAATTAATTTAATATATATATATATATATATATACAAGGGATCTTCACATACATACATACATACATACATACATATATAAATATTTATATATGTATATATATATATATATATGTGAAGATCCCTCTCTTGCTCAAAAGATGAAAAAGTGGAGAGTGGCTTGCCATAGCGTATCCCTGATGAGGAGAATATTGTAGTGGATTTTGATTTTGTATTTGTATGTTTGTATTGGTAGCTTTTCCTTTGCACTTCGTGACAGTGTGTCGGTACTTTTACCTTTTTCTTTGCTTGATGTAATTTTTACACATTTTGTCAATGTGTTTGTTTTTAAAGCTCTTCGTGTGCTTACTTTATGATTGTGCATACGTTTGAATTCATATTGCACTTGATAAATGTCACTTTATTTTTTGTGCTCACTTTATTACCAAAAATTTTTTTGAGTTACTAAAACAATATTGACCCGTCCTAGGTTTTGTCACCAAAGATGGACAAAAACTTCCTTGCTAAGGATGCATGACTTAACCAATGTTAATTAGAACAACTGCTCAACCCGTAACCTGTAATAGAAGACACCAAAGGAATTCCACCAATGATTTTTGACAAATACTGAGATGTTTAGTGAAAGAATTTGCTTGACCACCGTAGTCTGTAATGATCTAAATCAAATCGAGTTGTACCGAGACTGATTAAACCAAAAATGAGGTACAAAAAAAATGTTGTGTTTCTAGTTTGGGGTGTAGGTTGAGATTGAACATACTATTTTTGGAAATATGATTGTAACCATATTCAAAAATAATATTTGACATTTTTTTGTCATCTTTTTTTTTAATTTATTAACGCCCAGTGAGGGCGTCGTTCAAATGAACCTACAAAGCAACCTTGAATTTTTTTGAGAATGTAATCATAACTTTATTCAAACAAAGTTTTGTATGTACAAGAGAAAATACAACTCTATTACTTAAGCAATCTAAATTACATCAAACTTTGAGAGAAAATTAAAATAAACATGAAAAATCCACCACATATATGAAGTGGTGGTTGAACACCAATGAAGACAAAATAGTAGCTAAAGTATCACGAATGTGTTGATCACTGATAATATATGTGAGATTCTTCACGTTCCAAGTTCGAGGAAGTGTCCTCCCATACATGTCCTTTAGATTGAATGTTTTTGGTTTGATGTGACCACATACAACCTCTCCCAAAAGGGTGAATGTTTATTGAGTTGAGGGTCTTTCTCTAGTGGCCTCAAGGCTTCACAAGAAAGACCAAGTCACCAATGGATATTGGTCAAGATTTCATTCTTCTGTTAAATTAACAAGCTGCTTTTTGGTTGTACAAAGCAGCTTTGAGAATGACCAATTCATAAATTTCTAGAATAATATCTAAATTCTGTTCGAGTTTCTCGTCGTTTACATTAGGATTAAAATCTTGAACCTGAAAGTTTGAGAATCCAATATCAACTAGGATAGCTATTTTCATGCTTAAACTAAGATTGTTTGGTGTTTCCTTGGTTGGTCTACAAGAAGTGGTGTGATAAGCTCAAAGAATATTTGGGAGTTCTTTAGCCCCTCCAACCTTTCTGAGCAAGCTTTTATCCCCTTGAGTATGATATGGTTGGTACCTCAGTTTGATCATCCGTCTGGGGACGAGCTACAACCATGTGTTGGAGTTGGATGTGAAGATCCTTACATAAAAGTGTAAATTCATTTCGAGTGAACTGAGTTTCATTTTCATTAATAATTTTTACAGGAATACCAAAATAATAAATTATGCTCTTCAAGGCAAACAACTTGGCATTTGCTTTTGTAATTTTGCTTAGGGGCTCTGCTCTGCCAATTTAGTGAAGTAACCAACAACCAAAATCACAAATTTTGTTGCCCTGTGGCTATAGAAAAAAGGTCTCATGATATATATCTCCCATTGGACGAATGGTCGAGGATTCTAGAGGGATTTAAGTTCAACGATGTGTGTCCAAAACTAGAATGAAATTGTCAATTTTTGTGTTTCTTGGTTAAGTTCAATGCATCTGGCTTCATCGTTATCCATTAATACCGTTGTCTCATTATCTTAAGAATGAGGGACCTTCCTCCTAAGTACTCACCATGTATCCCAATGTGAACTTCTCGCAATGCGTAGTCAGCATCAATTGAATAAGGCATTTAAGGTATGCCCTAGTGAAAGCCCCCTTATAAAGTTCATCATTTATGATGATAAAATTTGTTGCTTGCCCTCTCACTCAGAGGACTTCATTTGTGTTTTCAGGAAGAGCCCCATTGTGAAGCAAAGGAGATGATATGATCTATCTATAAAGCTTCATTCGTTTTCTCGATAGATTGTATCTCCTAAGGGCCAGGAATATTAGAAAAATGTATATTTTCAATACATCTCTTTTTATAAAAAATGTCAAATTATTGAAGCGACAAACATAGAAATGACATCTACTTGACAGTTTTTCTCCCAAGTTGTGTAAATTATCTGGTGCATTTAAAAGTGAGCAAGGAGCAATTTCACCAGAGCCATATATTATTCCAGCTGTGATTATGAACATTGAAGTTCCTCTCCACCTAAGAGGCTATAAACTGGGAACGAGTATAAATGATTATGTCACCAACCTCAAAATCCAAGGCGAGACTTATTTTGACTATAAGACATCTTGTTTAAGAGAAATCAACAAAACTCCGACTCCAACTCCAAATATAATGTCCACAAGGAAAATTTAAAAGGGGAATGACTGGCTAAATTGGGGTAGGAATTGTACATTCCACCATAAAAGTCAAAGAGCTTGTGATTTGATATTAGGCTTCAGCAAGAAGCGGAGATCTAACGCTCATTCTACGGACCACTTCGTTAGCCTCTTTGATGCCTCCAGTTTTTGTAAATAGTCCCCTGAGGGAGATTTGTGTAAACACCAATAGTATGGACTCGAAAATATTTAGATAATTTTCATGCCAAGAATATTAGTGGTAGGGCCATCTTATCAGTCAACGGATAGAGGCTTTTTATGTCAGAAACTATTAGTACACCGTTGTTAAAGTTTTTTGCTCCTCCCTGATCATGACTAAACCCATTGCATACAAAGACACCGCAAGATAGTGATACAATATCTTGCCTTGCACTTGTTTTGACAACAAAGATGGCGAATCAAGTATGTTTTGAGCTGATCAAAAGCA